TTGTGATGTTGTTGATGTTATGAAGCATGAAAAATGACCTATTATGAGCCCTTTTAACTTACATAAGTTTTAAATAACATTTAAGGGCCTTAAAGGGGCTTAAGGATTGAGTTGGGTTAACATTGTCATGTGAACCATAACATTTTTAGGTTTGAGTATCAGTACTAGATTAATAGTACCAATATTTTCTGTTAGACAGTCAAAATAAGGGGTTTTTAGTTGGATAGTATCAATCTTCTATTCATTAATTATCAATATTGTTCTTCGGGTGTCGATACTAAATGGTGGAGTATCAATACCATCTCCAAGTTACAAAATTCAGTAGTTAATTTTGGTATCTATACTTGGATAGTATTAGTACTCCGAAAAGAAAAAAAAGTATTGATACTCTAAGGAATGATATCAATAGTAAATTATTTTCTCCAAACATCGAATCCAAGTTTAGTATCGATACCTAGACCGGTATCGATACCCAAATTGAGAAGTATTGATACTCCATATAAGAGTATCGATACTATAAGGATTTCTCAAAAGATCGAATGTAAAATTAGTATCGATACCAATGGTGGGTATCAATACTAAAGGGCTTAATATCGATACCATAGGAATGAATTGGCCAAGAAGCCTAACTTTAGTTTAAAGGCTTAGGAAAGGGTCTAGGTCCAGTGAAACTTCTTTAATAAGCTTGCAAGTGATAACAACAAATAAATATGTTTTAAGCATAAGAATGTTATGAACTAAGAAAGCCATAAAACTTATATATTTGTGACACTCGAAAAATAAAAAGGTCACCACTTTACTTTAGTAAGTATGAAGACCATCTTATTTGATAGAAATATATGAATATATTCCAGCTAGAGTCGATGCACTTATTTTTCACTAGTTGGGTGTACATACCCCGAGTACTTTTTGTAACTGAATTTTTCGTAGGGAAGAAAGTCAACAAGTTATGACAATGTAGGCTTTTGAAAAGGTTTTATTAAATGATAGGAGTCGCTACCAATCATTTTTAAGTTGAGATTCAAACTCCTAAAACATGTAATTTATTAATAAATTTTATTTTAGTAAAATACATTGTTTTCGTAAGCGAAATCAAAAAATAGATTCAAGAATCAATTACTTGTAGGGAATGATTAACACCCCCAAAGCTACAAAAAATTTATACCTAGTCGATTACCCTATGTTTTCAAATTGAAAATTTTGAGTTTGATGTTTTAGTTTTTTAAAAAAAATCATTATGTATGTATATTTTAAAAGGGTATATATTTATTATGACCAATAACGAATACCCTCGAGCATAAGAGGAAGTTTTACCATTAATCAAATAAATAAACATTGCCTTAATAATTTTAAAATCATGATACGACATTTTGAAAAGCAAGTCAATTTACTTAGGGAATCCCTAGTGGTTACCCAAGCATAATACGGAGGATACACTATTAATCTCCTAATAAATGAACATTTTCTTATTTTGAAATTAGAATATACCAGGAAGCAACTGATTATTGAACTTGATTGCACTGGTGAATTAATGAAGACATGTTTCTAACTGAAGTTATAAATTATGATTTTTAAAGAATAAAAAGGATCAAACCTACAAATGTGCGCTATAATATTAATACTAACCATTTTATATCCAATTTTTTAATCAAATAACCAAAATTTAACCTCGGGAAAATCGAGGCCAAATAAGAAAATTACCTAAATTATGGGACTAAAGTGAAATTAAACCTGAAATGAAGGCTCTAGTATAAAAACATAATCAATTTTATCAAATTGTTGGTTTGAATAACTAAAATGGATCCTCATGCATAAATGCGAGGACCAAACAAAAAATTCAATTCTCCTAAACTATAAGACAAACGAAACTAAACCTAAAATAAAGATAAGAGAGTCGTTTTTAAAGATTTTAATGGCATAAATAAAATAGATAAAATTCTCCTAAAATTAGAATGCATAATTTTAATGGCATAAATAAAAACGGATAAAATTACAGGTTAGAGTCATTTTTTAAGATTTTAAATGGACCATAGATAACACGAGTCAAACCTCGGGACGAGTCCTCGTGAGTTTTTAAAATTAATTCAAATATTTAGATAATTAGTAGGTTAGCGGTTAAAAATCAAAATTACTTAGACCGTAATAATGTGAGCTATACCACGAGACTGATGATCCGAATGTCATAAAAATAATTTGAGCACGAGAATTAGCAGAATTTTACCTAAACCCAAATAATGTAGGTCATACCCCATGACGGATCACAACAATGTCGATTCGAGTGTTGTAAGCAATAATAAATTAAAAACTAGTGACTAAGTTGAAATAAAAAAGGCAAAATTGCAGTAAATTAAAAAATATGGTGACCTATTTGTAAATTCGTGTCAAAATATGGGTGACCTAAGTGTAATTTCCCTTTTTATCAACCCTATAAAACATAAATTTTTACCAAAAATAGTCATTCTCATCCAAAACCCAAAAAAAAACTTTTTTTTTGTTTATCTCTCACTGTCTATCGTTAAATCAAAAAAAATCAAAAAACCTTAAAACTTTTATGACCATCATACGTCGGTAGCCTCTTTTTACCTCCTACCAAGACTCGAGATGGTCGGGGAACCTAAATTCGAGACCTAAAGAACCTAAACTCTTCATTTCTCCCCTCTAGCCTATTTTTTCTCTTTAGTCAAAACCCTAAAAACCCTTGTCGTACATCGACCTTGCTTGAACTCCAACCACCATCAATGGTCATCATGCTACCCTAAAACCTAAAACCTAAACCCAATGCCTAGAAAACCTTTCCTCTACTTTAAGTCCCCCAAAATTGAGAACCAAAAAGCCAAGATACAAGATTCCTAGGCCTCGTAAGTTTCTTAACCTTCCATCTTCTCGACTTTAATGGCCTCCATCGATGACGATGCAAGCCACAAACCAAATAGGGGACACGACCCTCCAATTACTCACAACACCGCTCAATTCCAATTACCTCAACTAATTATGAGAAGCTAAAGCTAGGACTACTCAAGTAAACTATCCAAACATTTTTTCTTCTTTTTTCTTTCGAGTCACCATATATACCATTGAAAAAGTAAACGATAAAAACATAGTCTAAACTCAGAAAGAATTTTTGTATTTTCTTTTCAGTCTTCTTCAATTTAAATTTTGGAAGGGCCAACCTTTTGTCACATCTTGATTCGGGTTTATATACTTGTTTGTTCAAGGTTACAACAATAAAAAATATAAATTTTACATTCATTTTTCTTTGATTCTTTGCATGTGATCGTTAATGTGATTTGGTTTTGGTGATTTGGTTCTGTAGTGGATGGGGGACCACTGTCGGCTGGTAGTTGACATGGAAGAAGAATAGTCACACGTGCTCTACTAGAAAGGGAAGAGGTGGCTTAAGTAATGCTTGAGCTAGGGTTTCATAAACCACAATCTGGATTAATTTCAATCGTCATTTAACCTTTCGATGGAACGATTGGGGATGCACGATGCTTAGATTGGGATTAAAACCTTAATCTGTATTAATCTGAATTGTCAATTAGCCTCTTGTGATTGTGAAAATGGACATTTCTAACCAAATAGGTAATGTCGCCTAATCTTCAAGGCATACACCACTATTCCCTGCTCAATATTGTGGATGAGGAAATTACACTAATGTGGCTTAAGCTGACGAGATGCGCAGTCCAAAACCTTGCATTCCTGCATCAAAACGCATCCAAGACCATTTAAGAAGCTTCACTGAAAACTATAAAGTCCTTACCCAACATTAGTGAATATTGGACCTAGGTTACAATGGTCTTCAACTGCTTAAAGCTCTTCTGTCGCTCTCATCCCACACAAAGGAAACACCCTCACTACTAGAAAAAACCCCTTTTATGACGCGCATTGCGCGTCATCTATGGGTGCGGATGACACACAAATGTCTGTCGTTGAAGCCATCGACATGAATCTCAGATGACACGCAATTGTGCGTCATGAATTTATGACGCGCATTTATGACACGTATTTATGACGCACATTTATGACACTCATTGTGCGTCATTGAAGCCCCCATCATAAATGAAGACGACACACATTTGTGTGTCATAAATTTATGACACGCATTTACATTTTTATATATATATATATATATTGAAGATTGACAAATATTCAAACTAAATCACATTTAATGCCTCATAATATTAAATATATAAATCATATTATATATAAGCAATCCATTTGCATACAATATATTCACATTAAGTTATCAAAAATATTGTAATCATATGTCGATACAAAATATCACAGCATAATAAAGTTCTATTAATATGCCCTCGCCATCCAGGCATTTACACAAGAAATCATCATCAAGTTCTACTAAAGGGGAGTCTTGTGAAAAATCAAAACTAGCATGGTATTCCAACATATCATCAGTTTCACCATTTGCTCCATACTTGTACATCTTATGTGGGTGAAGCCGACAAAGACAAATTCACACCTTGTCTACCTAGCAAAAAGAACACAACTTGGAAGATTCATTGCTTACTATTAAGTCTGTTAACTAGTTAAGATTCTGCAAAACTTTGATAAGTTAGAGAACTACTAAGTGCAATACATTTGTCCCAAGTTTCAATTCATACCTTCTACATATTTGATCCAATGGAGTGCGGTAATGATCAAACAGTAGCCAGATACCATATCCAATCTTCCAATGCTTCTGCAACTTGTATTTCAAAAGATGCAAAAGAAGGTTGAATTGGTCCGTTATTTAAAGAATTAATAGGACTAAAACAAAATGTGATGATATTAAAGCCACAATTGCTTCACAGCTAGAAGCAGATGAAACCTTATTAGGGGACATATGGACCAGTGCATCATCGTAGAAACTATTTGATAACTCATTATTGTCATCCTTCTCAACTACAAGCTCTGAGTCAAAAGTGAAGACCTTAATAAACTCAAAAACATCATTCAGCTTTAAGTCTTACTCTGGAGAATCATATATATGCAATAAAAAAATGGAGAGACTATTCCCACAATAAACCCTACAATCTATAAAACGAAGCACCAAACATATTAGTTTAAGCTCTCAAGTATCCTCTGTGGCATCACCAAAATGTAGACAAGAAGAGGTGAAAACAACATTCTTCTTTCTTGAGGATAAGAGAAGGGGCCGCAGATAAGAGACTCAAATCCCATATCCACTTAATGCCTTGCACCATCCTGCGAATATTCCTGCGAATATTGCTAATGCTATCTGCAGCACTGAATGGTGCTTCTTTCTTTCAATGCATTTTACTACATAATCTCTTTGTCAACAATATTAAAATGTGGCTATCATAGAAGATAATGACGGCAATGAGCATACCGCTGCAATCATAGACGAAGCAAAAATTATCTTCAAGCTCTTGCTTCTAATAACAGTCATAAAACATTGCTTGATCTTTCCAAAAGTTGAAATCTAAGAACAGCAGGAGAAATAGTTAGTATTTGAACATTCTCTGAAGCAAAGAAGATGAAGTTTCCATTATGGTCAAATGCAACAGTGAGTTTTCACATGCTTTTAACTCATGAAACTGAATGGAAGAGGCTCCAAAAAGATGATATATTTGTATTCAAAACAAAAAAGTGCAAATAAACCTTTCGGTTCCTTTCATCACTGCTTTGAGGTAAGTCAACTTGATACATAGTGTCATTATAGCTACTATGTGAAATAAGTAAAGGTTCCGAGAAAGTCTCCGATGGTATTTCTTCGACTATACTGTTTGCAGACGTCCGCATAATAAAATACAAAATGGACCACATATAAATTGCTTGTATCTGTATCACTAGCAACACAAGTACACAAGGTCATTAATTAGTATACGAATTACTACATTTTCCCCTTTTTTCTTTTTTTTTTTATATATTTTCCAGTGATTTGTCATGAAAGAAGTTGTCAGTAGAGTTGAACTACCAAGTGCAGTCATGCACCATGCTCCACTAAGCATGTAAACAAGTAACTGAGGCAGGCATTGAGAGACATCTAATATTTAATCACAGAGATGCCTCAATATTACACTTCATTTACACATTTATCGAGCAGGATTAACATGGACAATACCTCTAGAGAAAGCAAAGCATAAGCCTCTCCATATGCAGAGCAAGTGGACGAATCTCCATAGGACTATTCATTTTTTTGTAGAGGGCTAGAAATATGATAAGAAGCATGTTCCCTAGATTTGCTGTGAAACATCAAACAAACAAGTGATAGACTACAGAGAGCTAAACCCTTAATATGGAATTAGCTTAACAACAATCACTGCAAAAAATTTGATACCAGAAGAAGAGCAACCAATTACGAGGCCCTGGAGGTGTCGAGAAGTTCTTGTAATCTTTACAAGCATCCATCCGAGTGTCAAACCGATCATACATGAGATAAAGATGTTTAATGGCATAAACCACCTAGAGATGCATCCAATGATATTTTGGTTAAATGAGATGGAACATAATACTTCAAATTCATTTTGTACTCATGAAGTGAACATAAATGAACTCGTAAGGTAGCCAAAAACTCGATCTTGATCGTATCGGCAAGACAGCAGCCAATCAGAGCAGGGATGAAAACATAGAATACCAATTGCACATATAAACCTGTTATCTTTAGTCCTTCTTCATCCCTCCATCAAATCATTTAACAATTGTGATAAAATAGCAGTATATACAATATTAGGAATATAAAACATTAGACAAATGCGATAGTGTTAACAAATGTTAAACTTGTGACATTTGACAACTTCCTTTAACATACATAAAGGATAAAATAGCATACCTGCACTGTTTCCTCATAAGTAAAAGAATGATCATTCTTCATCTTCTTTTCCAAGAAATTAATTGCCTCTTGTTCTTTCGATCCAGCACTGGTTGCCTGCAGTACATCAGTCAAAAATTCAATCTAGATGTATAATGTAAACCCTAAACCAACTAAAATTTAACCAAATTATTGTGGTCGCATCTTGTACTACACTCTAAACAAAAACAAAACTTCCATATAGAATATAGTCAAAGAGACATAGTTGAGAGAAACAGTTATGAATCATAACCATAGTAATAATATATGGCTTCTGGAACCAGGCATTTAGAACCAAAATCAAGAATCCAAACATGATAAGCGATAAAATCAACTCGCAAACTACCTTGTGACCATAAAAAATAGCCTGCGGGATCACACTTGTAGAGTTTGGGTCCCTTTTCTTCGTCAATACCCAAAACCATGGCAACTTCACATAAAAGGAAACAAAATATAGCAGAGTAAGTTACCTAGAATACACAATTACACATAAGCATATATTTGCTTGCATGTGTATTAAGAACTCAAAAGTTATAAATCTCCCATGGAAAAAATAAAGATAGAAAAACTTTTAAAACAAAATTATAGTTGTAGGATGTTGAAGAAATCATAGGTTTACCAACTCCAAGAGGCCTCATATAAACATGTTGAGTATAAAACTGTGATTTGTCTGCAATCCTATACCAATAAAGCATGAGAGGCTAAATTAAATGTATGATCATCAAAATGGATGAAAACCATAAACATCAAAGATAGATCAATTTTCAATAAGGAATTCAAAATAAAAGTTAAAATGTGGTTGGTCGTGTGTATTAATTTTGGAACCAAGACTATACCCATGAACTAGTAAATAAGGATGATAAAGCCGCTTCAACTTTGATGTTAAAACGAGCAGGATCTTAATATTTTTCAAATATCTACTAGCAGAAGTAAAAGAGCATAAATTTATATCCAGTGTGTATTCAAATGACTGATCTCTTCAAGTCATTAAGCTTGATCAAACATTATCCAGATGAGATATACAGAAAATACAAAATCCAAATTTTCGAAAACAACTAAATATTGTCAAGCTCAAGAGAATATAATACAAGTAACTATACTATTTGGACAATACATCCACAGGCATCTCATATCCATATCTGAACTGAAACTCAACTGCTTCATTCCTTGCTTGTTGGACCAAGGTCCTTGCATCAACTGAAGAGTGGAAATGCCAATTATCATCAGTGTGAAAAGAGATATATCATTATAGCCCAGAATCCCTTACATCCCCAAAACCCTGATTCACTAGTCAACAAAACAAAGATCTTGGCAATTCGAACAAATAATATCTAAGAAAAATATTTACCAAAATAAAAAAAATGATATTTAGCAAAAAAAAAAAATTAAACCTGTCATGAGGGTAGCCAATAATCCAAGGAACATGGTAATAGGGAAAAGATGACTGACACTAGTCTGATCCAATAGCTTGTCCTGCATAACATTATTCAAAATTAAATACCCAAATCGAAGAAAACCTTAAAATCACTTTAATCCCAAAAATAAAGAAATAAAGGAAATGTAAATGGGAGAGTACGAACGAGAACTTTCCTCTGGGTAACAACACAATCGAAATCTTTTCCTCGAACATCAATGGATGTGATCCCAGATGCTTTCACTGCCTTAAACGCATACTCTGCTCATTTTATTCCAAAATCAAAATTTAAAAACGAATAATAACAATAATAAAGTTCTTCTAGATTCCAGAATAATAAAGTTAAAATACACATACCGACTTGGAAAAGTCGACCTCCAGGAGAGAAGATACACATACAACTGAAACAAAAATACCTCCTTTATGTAACCATGAATAAGTATCAATACCAGCCTGCAAAACTTGCAGAATAGCATATATGTTGGGGGAGGAAAAATGGAAATAAAAGAGAAGAAAAAAGGAGAAAATAAAATATCCGCTTGCTAGCGTATTTCTTGATGTGAACAGGTTCAATGAAAGGTTTCATGAATCTAAGCAGACCTTTGATTCCCATTGTTTATCCCCTGTTTCTGGTTTTGGGAATTAAGGTTTTTTTTGGGGGAAGAGGAGAAGGGGCGCTGAGAAAAAGAGAAGCGGGAAAACATGTAAGTTAAATTATGGGGGAAATTAAAAGATGACTTTTATAGATGACACACAATGAAAAGTGTACTCCGTGTTTTTGCTAATTTTTTTAGATTATGACTATTAAATATGACACACATTATTGTAAGTCATAAATCGTTCATATTTTAAGAAACTTGACATTTTTTATGACACACATTTTTAGCAAATCATAAATTAGCGTGTGCCATCGTTCGTGTGTCATTAAAGGTATATTTTCTTGTAGTGCCTTATGAAGTAATTTGGCCAGTGGGTAGCTATCATCAAGAAGCCCTAATACGATAGTACCCGGCTAATCGTATGAAACTATTTACCTCTAACATAATCTTCTACGGATCGACTCAGATGTCGTCGGTTAACACAACATGACCTAGAAATAAAACCTCTAGAAACCAAAACTCAAAATTCCCAAAATGAACATACAATTTTCAGTCTCAGAGAGTTTGAAGAATGATACAGAGGTGATGGTCGTACTCTTCCTCTTATCATGAGTACACTAGGATGTCGTCTATAAAAACCACTATAAACTGATCTAAGTAAGGGTGAAAGACTCAGTTCATCAAGTCCATGAATGCCACTGGGGCGTTAGTAAGCCCAAACAACATTACCAAGAACTCATAATGATCGTATCTCATCCTGAAAGCTGTCTTCACCACATCGGCATCGTTCACCTTCAACTGATAATAAACTGACCATAAATCGATCTTGAAGAACAGACACGCTCCCCTCAGCTGGTCAGAGAGATCACCTATCCTAGAAAGTAGGTAACAATTCTTTATGGTTAAATTATTCAACTGCTTATAGTCGATGAATAGCCTCATCAATCCATCATTCTTAATAAACAAGACTAGCACTCCCCACAGAGAGATGCTCGATTAGATGAAGCTCTTCTCTAGAAACTCCTAAATCTAGGCCATTAACTCCTTAAACTCTATCGACGACATGCAATAGGGAGAAATGGACACTGATGCTAAACTCAACCTTACCTTGATGCCAAACTCTAATTCACGGTTAGGAAGTAAACCCGACAATTCTTTTAGGAACACAGTGGTGAAATCTCGTACTGCCCGAATACCATTGAGTGTTTGAATTGAAATTTGGGTATATACCACATGAGCCAAGAAGGCCACACATCCCTAGTCAATCATCCGCTGAGCTTCTATAGCTGACAAGATCCTTGACTGTCCCGACTTCTCGCTAGTCATCACTAACTTAGTACCATCATTCACTTTGAGCTAAAGCTTCCTAAATTTACAATTGTAACTATTGTCATTCTAGGATAATCAATTTATGCCCAAAATCACGTTGAACTCTTAGATGCGTAACTCCATTAAGTCCACTAGGAAGGTTTGACCATGAATTTCTAGTGGACATCATTATTAAATCTTGTCTACTAGGTTATCTAGACCTAGAGGGTTCGATAATCGAACTACTACCTATATGTATTCGGTTGAGATTTATTCTCTTGAACTAGGTCGAAACAGATGTATGAGAGATTGGAACTAAGATCTATCCACTTAGAAACTGGAATGGAAAATGTTGTGAATATTCTTGATATCACGTCTATTACATCACACTCTTCCCAGGCTCTCACCATATACTGTCTAGAGGATACCCTCAGTTCTGCACCAATCACTGATCTAGTTATCTTTCAACTCTTCTGTCCAGATATAATACTACCACATATGATTAGTCTCTGGCCTCTCTACACAGATGGTGTTGATCTCTAAGTCGATGATGGAGACACTCCCTGAACCCCCATATAATCTCTGATAAAGTGGTATAAGGAGTCCCAACTAAAAAAAACCTAGATCCCTACTAGCATGTCCTCGGATGTCTCTTCCTACTCCAAGCGTATATTAGATGAGTAAAGACTCTTGTTGAATCAATGGATCTTGGTTCAGAGACTAACGTCAGGGATCTCCTCCTAGTTTTATATATACCTTCATAGTCTGAAATTAGCCCTACTCTCCTCATTTTCACTGTTGGAGGTCTTTACAAACTGCGACTATCTTTGGCCCTCTTGGAATGAGTCATCAATGACCTTGCTGATTTAGTAGCTCTTTTGGACTGTCTCATTGCCTCGTTCGACTATTGGACCTTCCTACTCACAACCTTCTCTACCGCCTTTGCCTACTAGGATAACTCAGCGAATACCCTAGGAGAGTCGGATGAAAGGTGTGACTGGATGTCGAGGTGTAGGCCCTCTCTAAATCTACAACAATGGTGATCCTCTATTGAAACCAACTCTAAAGTATATCTACTTAGTTTGAGCTAGGTGT